CCTACGACAACCCGAAGTACCCTCCCCCCCCCCCCCAAAAAAAACCAAATCAAACCCCAGCCCAAATCCATACCCCAATACCGACCCGTCTCCCGTTACAACCAAACGACACCGTTTCGTCGTTAGCAGATCTGAGCCGTCGAGGTTGGGCGATCCAACGGCTCAGAAGTCGGGAGTCATTAATATTTAATTGTCTGAACACCCCTCCCCTACCCCCCTTCTCACCGTTTCCATACCCTAGAGAACTCCTTACCGTGAACCATCGTGAACCACCGCGAACCACCGGCCGGAAATCGCCTCCGCCGGCAGCCGGCCACCAAATACCACCAAATTTACACCATGATGTCCTCTCACCCTCCCCATTCCAAACCCCCAATCTATTTCCCTCGAATCCCAGTCGATTCCCTCGAATAGCCAAAACCCTAGGCGCCACCTCCGCCGCCCAAGGCGGCGCCGCCTTCAAACCACCCCAAAACAACACCCCATGACCCCCATGCCTCCCTCATGCCTGATATGTCAACAACATCCTTCGAATATGCCCAGACTCACTCAAATCTTGGATCCGAGGTCAAGCTTCAGTCGTTCAAACCATTCAACCTCAAGTATTTTTTGTGATTTTCGTAGGAACTACAACATCAAATATTAAGTGTCAAGTCAAATCAGTAAGGTTTCCTTTTTTCATTTAATTTTCTATTTTTATTTGTTCACAGTCTATCTTTGTTCTTCATGTGAACTGATTTGGAATTTTTGCTTAATTGACCTTTGTTCATTCTGTTTTAGGTTTAATTTTTGGTCTTGTTGATTTCTCCTGTGGGTTTAATTTTATTCTCTTAGAATTAATGTTAACTCAGTTTGATTCATATTTCTGTGTTTGAATTCGATTTTCGGTTGTTGCTATGGTAGTGATTTTATTCTTAGTTTTAATTTTGCTGTTAGCCCTTTGTTGTTAATCTATCCTTAGCATTAATTAGGGTTGAATTATAATCTTAGTTAATTAGTTTAGTTTTCAAGTTTTCTTAATTGTTTGGGTATATCTGAGTGTCCCAGCCTCTCATTAGTTGACTAGGGTCATTTTTGACCAGGGTAAAAAGGGTTTGGTGTGGTTGGAATTGGGTTTGGGTAGGTCAGTAATTCCAAAAGGGTTTCAGGGGTAGGTTGGGTATGGAAAAGGGTAGTTTTATTAGAAATAGTGATTTCAGAATTAATACAAGGGTAATTTGGGGATTCTAAGGGTAGGAAAATCAGAATAGAACCCCCTGGGACTTTCTAGAAGGGGTTTTAAACTGAAATTCAGTAAACTTAGGGTAGTTACTTGTGTGACAAGTCAGAAAATAAAGGATAAAAAATAGAATTAAATAGGGACCAATGGGGTAAAAGGAAAATCTGAAAGTGGACCTAAGCTCACCTATAAATAGGCATTCATTTGCCTCGATTCACAAGTTTTTGAGCTCCAAAATCCTCCCCAAAAAATTTCCTCTCCAATTTCAGAACTGATTTGAAATGCAAACCTTCAAAAATCCAAAAACAATAGAAATCTAATAGAAAATCCCAAAAAAAAAAATTACTGTTATATCAGTGTCACTTAGGTCATTTTCAGATTCGATCATTGAATTCAGTTCTCTAGCTCATAAAGGATGAAAGCTACTTGAATTGCCTTGTGTTTTGTTCAATATTTGAGGATTGAAGATAGTTTGAGTCATCTAGGCAGGGGATTTGGGAGATTCGAGTCAACCGTGATCTTAGTTTGAGTGTCTACTTTCCTGTGTTCATTTCTGGGTATTCGAGTTGGTTTTGGGTTGCTTCAGTGATAGAAATTGTTGCTGTGTTTGATCTATCGCTGGAGTTTCAAATCCGTTCCTGACTTTGCTGTGTCGACTGACTTATTACTGAATTTTGAACTTATTCCTGGGTTGCTGCTGAGAACTGCTACTGCTACTGATCTTTCTTCTTCCTATTGATCACTGACTCCCAGGTACACGCTTGAATCGACTCTGCTGTAACTTTGAGCTTGAAATGGAATACAATTACTCACTTACTTGATCCTGAAATATGCTGCCTGGACTGTGGGTGTTGGTAGTTAAATAGGCGTTAAATTTAATTGCACAGCATAGCTTAGAATCGATTTGTATGTGTATAAATCTGGACTGTATAATTATGACTGGATCAGACTGTTTTCGATACTGTTGAGACATTTGGAATTGATTGTAGTTCATGGTCTCAATATCTGAATATTGCATATAAAGGTTAGAACTAGAAGTCCTGAATATGAGCCTATTTCTGCAGCCCGTTGTATTAATTCGAATAGGCCTGTTAATAATTTAGGAAATGGAACAGAATGATCATTTAGTGAGCAAGTAGCTTGAACAATTATGTGTTAGTTTCAATAATGATTCCCAGATGGTTGCTATAATTTAAATGAGGCTTGTATTGATGTTTGGATTAAGGTGTTTGCATGGAAAGTATTGAAATGTGTTTTAGAATCCGAAATTGTTTAATTCCTTTGAGGCAAAATAACATGTGTTGTAAAATCAAACGCGAAGACTACTTCCTTGTGTTGTTGCGCGGTATCGAACCAGAGAATTCATTTCTGTTTGAAGCTGGCCTGCGTTAAAATTGGGCTCTCTCATGAGCCAACTTGGATTGATATTAATTTGGAACTCAAAGTAGTCTTACGCCTGTGGACCACTGTGCCCCATGCTGGACCCAATGTTGATTTCACGTCGCTGGGCCTGGCTTCACTTGGAGCCCGATTTCTTCAGGCATTAAATCTGCAACCATGTTTAATCACATCAGGTTTATTAGTTGGACCCTCGGTCCATTTTTGCTAGACTGATCCCTTTGCTCGAAATAAGTAACTCTCCTCGTGTGAATCATTAGTCAGTCGAAGGGAAGCCTTTAATCACATTTAGTTCTAGCGGGTTAAGCCCATTAACTAGATTGAGGTGAGCCATAATTAGATAACTCGTAGTGCGTGGCCCTCATGAATTAGTTTAAGACCGTTAAGCTAGAACAAATTGAGGCGCGCCAAGCCCGATAAAATCTCAGATGCTTGGCCCCGTTCAAATATTTCTTTTAAAACAATTAGAATCCGAGGCGTGCCATTTAGCAAAATTTCATGGCCCTCGCAAAGCCAAGACGCGTAGTTGCTTTAGGCGCGTATTTTAATAATATTACTTTCTTAAATACGGGTGCACATTTATGTGACCCAAATCTAAATCTCAACGGAGTCGAAATGAGTCAAAAGCCACGGGTGCACTGGTGTAACGTGGTTCGAGATACATTTTCACGACGTTGCAATTCTTATTAAAAAGACATAAAGTAAAAGCAGTTAAAATAAAGGCACATAGGTTAGAATATGTTTTAAAATCAGATAAAAAGCAAATACAACAGTTGAGCGACCGTGCTAGAACCACGGAATCCGGGAGTGCCTAATACCTTCTCCCGGGTTAACAGAATTCCTTACCCGGAGTTCTGGTTCGCGGACTGTTAACAGAATCATAATTTCCTCGGATCGGGATTCGACCGGTGACTTGGGACACCATTAATCTCCCAAGTGGCGACTCTGAACATTGATAATAAATCCCGTTCCGACCATCCTTTAATTGGAAAAACTCCTTTACACCCTCACAGGTGTAGAAAAAAGGAGGTGTGACAAGGTTGTGATGATAATTTTTTCTTCTGTCTCCAATCCCTTTCTTCTGTCTCCAATCCCTTAGCCTTGTCTTCAATATTATAGATCTGAGCTGCCATTGATTTTCCTCCATTTTCCATCTTTGAAATTCGGAGATGAAAACCAACAGCCGTTGTTCCGCCATTGATTTTCCTCCATTTTCAATCTCTGTTCCGCCATTGACTTTCCTCCATTTTCAATCTCTGTTCCGCCATTGATTTTCCTCCATTTTCGGAAAAAAAAAACCCAACAACCTTTGTTTATGACAAAAGCAGAAGCAGACAGGATTTAAGTGGACTTTGGACATAAAAATCCAAGCGACAATGACGAAGAAGAGGACGGAGAAGAAGGGAGAGACAGAAGTAGTTCATACTTTCTAAGCCCTAACTAAGCGGGTAAGTGTTAAAAATGAGGGAAAAATTTGGGTTTGGGAGAGATAATAATCATTTCCCGTTTTATTTTCCTATGTGGCCATAATAAATGACCTGGAGCCTACGTGGTTTGATTTTCTTGACGTGGCGTCGTACGAGGAGATTATATTACACGCACTGGCGGCCTCGTGTCATAAGCGTTTATTATACACGATTTGAATGAGCGTAAGTGTTCAATTGGCAAATTGTTAAGTTTAGGGACCGGCATGACAAAGTGGGACAAGTATAGGTGCCATTTAGGCCATTCTGCCATGTTTGATTACTACAATACTGTTTCTGCAGAACTACATATAGTTGCCAAGTTCTATAAAGTAAGAAGCAACACCAGCCCGAGTATATATTTACAGAGAAAAGCAGCAGCAAAAATGCCAGGCTCAATTAGCAAACTAAGCAACAAATGAAACTTAGGTCTACAAAGGGAGGTTCTTGATTACCAGGGTAATGATCATTTCAGTACCAAAAGAAGGGTAATTATCAACAAAAATAGTAAAGCCTTCCTGGAAGAACTTGGCTATAATGATTCCTAGAATCAACTTTTTCTATATTCTTTCTCATGTATCTGTTCTTTATATAAGCAAAACTTCGTTTCTCTGTACAGTTGGTTACTTGGTTATATGAACATCATTTGCTAGTATCGCCTTTTTCCCGTAGAGAGCTCCCTTTCTTCTAAAAGAAACTTGTAAAATTCTCTGTTATGTTTCATTTGAGAATATGCAAACAAAAAGAGGATTTAGAGATCGCTTCTATGTTGACCGACCTTTAGCTAGCAGCTTAAAGTGAAGGACTTCTTGCAGCTCAGCTTTGCAAAGAGTATATACCCCGCGCAGATTCAGTTGCCTTGCCACAGCCTTGAGTTGATTGAGTGTCATAAATTTTAGATCTGCTATGTGTGGTGTTGGAACAATGAATGCTGTGGAAGCAAGAGGTTTGACATTCACAACTTTAATAACTTGAAGACTTTGATTTGATCTGTCCTGTGATTTTACCAACCTATTCTGAAAGTCTCTCAAATTCTCATTGTCTTGGAGGACTGGTTCCCTAGAACTCGTTATCCTTCTATTCTTCAATTGAGTCAAAGAAGTTGAACTGATCTCTGGAAGATCACCAGTTCCTTTGGCTCCACCGAGTAGTAACATATTTTCCTTGATTGTTTCATCTCCAGACTCATCACCTCTGTTCTTCTGAGTACTTCCTATTTTCTGCCTCTTGAGTTTTACACCAGAAGGTGTCTTGAATCCTAACTCCTCGGCAAGACATGGCTCTTTAGTCTTTTCTGGAGGTAAGTTCCATTTGAAGTTCAGCCTCTGACCTTCTAGTTTCAGGAACAACTTTGAGTCAGATTTATGTATGGTGAGTACTTGACTTTTCGAGGGTCGCTTCTCTTGCACTTTACCTTTGACTTTTTCCAGTGGCTGGCTTCTTTCTTCTCCCTTTAATCCAAGAAAAGATTTTGCACCAATCTTTTTTTCCCTTGCCAACTGACTTGAGGTGTATTTTTCTCTTCTCTGACCAGCCTTCCCTCCATTCTGTGTCTGTTCATCTCTGTATTCTTTGGGTTCTTGTTTTACAGAAATTAGACTGGTCTTCAGAATTGATCCAGCAGGCTGTCAAACAACATTGTCCCCCTTTTAGATGGAAAAGTCTCAAATAATAACTCGATAAAAATTCGAGAGGTCATAATTTCTTTTCTATAACTACAATGAGAAGGCCAAGAATGACACGCTTATACTGAGATTTGAAACTCATAAATTCTAAAAGTTGCTTTGAAGATCTTTAGTTGTTGTATTGTGATTTAGAACACATTAAGTTGACACATGAAGCGTCTCATGGTAGAATGAATAGATACACAGACTCTAATGGACTCTACAAGTACTGAAGCCACAGACTGTGCCCTTAGCTCCCTCTCTAAGCTATACATTGCCCCTGGCTTTTCTTCCTTCTAAAAGGGCAGCCCGGTGCACAAGGCAACCCGCGTTCACGCTGGGTCCGGGAAGGGCCTCTTTTTAATATAAGCTAAATGCTGATATAAGAGTCTACATTCAGGCAGTACATCTTTGAAAAATAAGACTCCTAGCCTGTTTGAATACCGTTACAGCACACTAAAGCAAATGGAAGATATGTCCCAACCTTCGGTCCTTTTCCATTGCTTGTTTCCTCGACTTCTGGAGACGAATTTATGATTACCCTTTCATCATTAGAACTTCGTGGCATCAATTCATCCTCAACTATATCTTCTGATATGTTGATCTTCCTCTTTGTTGTTCCGCAAGACTGAGCTTCGTCTTTTAGAGACTTCGTGCTTACACTCTTTAAAACAGCACATGCAAACTGCTTCTGTAAGAGTAGATAAGATAACCGGTTAGTTGAATGAGCTAGATCGGTACATAACCTTTATATGAATAAATATGCTCAGAAGATTTATAAGTACATTGTTGAGATGTGAAGGATATTCTCTTTTGCTTGCATTGATCAGCTTTCTGGGAATATCAAACTTGTTCAAATCCTTCATAGTGGAATCGTCACTAGCATGGCCAAAAGCCTTTTTGCTGGAAGCTTTGAATATTGTATGCACATCCTGTTCATTGTTTGAGAAAAGATAAAAATGCAGTGAACTGGACGAGTTAAGATGAGAAATGATGCAATGGGGGAGCTGAAACGCATTCACTACAAATACTACTTCCATGAGAATAAAAGGCCCATACAGATACCCGTGAACAGTTTTCAGATAGTATTAGTTATAGACTCACAAAAATATGAGAAGTAACCATAGAAATATATATCTGATAAACTTATGCAGTATATCCTAAATGGCTGAAATCCTGCACACTTAGGTTCAAATTTTCTTGCATTTTGCTATTCTTTTAGTGGAACAAAGAGAGATAATAAGCACTTACTGCTTCTTGATGATTTCTTTCTTGAACCGCAGATGGTATCTGGACTGTAACATTGGCCTGGACAGCGACACCCACATTTATTTCTACAGTCTCATTATCCTTTAAATCGTGGTTGTCCGTTGCTTCAACTTTTATAAGACCTGCTGCAGCTAGCTTTGAACTTCCAAGGCTAGAGTTTGCAGGCTGTTGATTTCAAAACAGAAGTCATGTGGAAATTCAAGAGTATAGTCTCAACCAACTACTTATGGGTCGTCTGGTCACCGGGATAAGGATATCAATCCCGGTATAAATCTGCGATTATAGTTATCCCATGTTTGGTTTTGGTATTAGCTAATACCAGTATAAATTTTATACCAAAATGATGGTATTAGCTATCCCATATAGGAGGTGGGATAGATAATCCCATGGGATATCCAAAACTGAACCAAACGACCCCTCAACTGTAAGTTCAATGATTATTATCTATATAACTGTAGATATAAATTCAACAATTGTCTTCGTTTAACAGCCATTATTTTCCTTCTTTAGTTTTTCAATTTTAAGAATCAGAAATTCCAAAAGTTTCACGTGAAACAGCAATGCTCATGTGCATCCAGTAAGTTACTAATATCTATCTTAAGAACAACAGTAATTAAGCAATCTTGCATGGAAAACAATAAAAACAGCCATCGAATCCAATATTAGATAAGAACAAGTAAATGTTCTGAGACCAAACCTGCTCCTCTCGTGGAGAAAAGAAATTTCTCAGCAGTCTCTCTAATATCTCATGAATTCTCTCTGGGGGCTTTCTATTTGTTAGTAAGTGAACACCAGAAACTTGGACATTTTTATGTTTCAAGGTTGTTATCAAACTATCTAGATGACCAATCTTTTTATTTAAAGCAGCAAAGCACATGTCGGACCATTTTTCATCAGTGCAGGCTAGTTGGCTCTGTAGCATCACTATATCATCTTTAAGTTCAGCAATTTCCGCATCAGCTTTTGCAATGAGCATCTCCAGCACTTGCAGACAACATTTCTCGTTTAAGGCATTTTCCTCTATAATGTCTGTCGACGCAAATCGATAGAAAAAATGAAGTCAGTTAGATGCACATTGATCGAAAGGAAACCAGGTTTATTAAAATAAAAGATCTAATAGACCTGTCAAGAAAATATACAAATACGAGAGTTAATTAATATGAACTCACCGAGCTTTTGATTGAAATAGAAGTTGAAGGGGAAGCTGTTTGTTGGATAACTGTTTTCATCTGAAGAAAAAAAAAATAAGTTAGTGCTTAAACCAAAAGGAACAGTCTGTCCACTTCAACGCTGCTTCTACCAAACAAACCTGAAAACTAGTAAGGTTAAAATAAGTAGGCAGTCCACTTATCAAAATATAATAATTAGACAAACCTTGAAGGTAAGGTGGACTCCAGATTAACAAATCCATCTCTTTCAGAAAATTCACCCTGTATCAGAGACCAAAAACAGAGGATCACAATTACATTTCCTAATTTAAAAGAATACATCTTCCACTAAGTATAAGCTATGTTATATTACCACTTGACTAAGACAAATCATATTACACTACGACCAAATCTCCCGGAAAAGAAGATTTGTTTCTATATCAAAAGCAACTCCAAAGTATCTCCTGTTAATCAGGATACCTGTTAGTCAGGATATGTGTAAGCTATGTTAACGACCACTTGAAATATGCATAGTATGTGAGCCTATATATACACACACACACATACACATATCAACTACTAGTAATGCCTTGGCTGCTAATGAATGCTGCTTCATTTAAAATTAAAGGCAGCAGAGCATGGGTGAAAGCTTCAAAATATTGAAGACATGAACTGAAATTTGTTAGAAGTATGGCATATATTGTACTCAGACGATACTCTAGTACTGTCTAAAAAGAAAAAGAAAAGGAAAATTAATGTAGCATTTCACTATAATAATGTTAAAGCTTAGTCAACCACAAAATATCACAGAGAAATTATCTTCTTCTTCTTCTTTTCTTTCTATAAGTACAAATAGAAATTATCTGAACATTCTGAAATGTTGTGAGATCTTCAACTTGGTTAATACAATAGAATTCAAATACTAATTCGAAATCCTAATTCATCTATCTTTTTTTAAAGAGTTAATACCCTAAAACCCGCCTAAACTATACGACTTTTGTCAGGTGCCAACCTAAACTATCGCATGTTCCCGAAAACCCCCTGAATTATATCGCCCTTCGTAATAAAAACCCCTCGTCGCTTATGTGGCATTATGTGTGTAATAAATCGCCCAAAAGCGCGTGAAGGCTAAAAAAAGTCATTAAAATGGCGTGTCTAACAACTAATTAGCACTTCTCTTTTAATATTTATATTTCTTTTTATTTTCTCCTCTTTTTCTTTATGTTTCACCTTCCTTCCTCATCTTTTTTACCTTTCTTCTCTATTTTTTCACCTTTTTCTTCTCCATTTATTCCTCATTTGAATCTATTTGAAATTTTCTCTCTCTAATTATTTCTGATTTTATTTCTTATCTTTCTCGTTTTATCCATCCTTCATTTCTTATCTAAATTTATTTGAAAGACGGAACACCTTTTCAAGTATTTGTAGAGTATGTGGTTTAATTCCTTTCAAGAAACTAGGGAATAAAGAAATAAGACATGTGTGTAGCTATTTCTTCAGCAATTTAGATATCTCCTTTCAATAATCTTCGGAATTTAGGTCTATCAAAACCCTAATCTTCTATACTGATTTAGGAGCAGAAACCCAAGTTTTTATCCCGATTTTCGAACGGAAGCAAGAATAGATAATGCAATCGAGGTTAGAACGAAGATTAATGGAGAAAATTGCTACTGAGAGATTAGTGTATCCATTCTCCGATGAGGCCAAGTCTCCGATAAGAACAAAGAGAAAACGAGTCTTTTTAAGTTGACCCACTAGTTTTACCCTAGCCCCTTTTTTATTTTTACTATGTAATAATTTACAATGATATAATAAAGAGTATTAAAATCTTAATTTAGTCTGGTTTCCGAGGACAGGTGATAGTTTAGGTGATAGTTTAGGTAGGTAACTGACAAAGGTTGTATAGTTTAGGTGGGTTTTAGGGTATTAACTCTTTTTTAAATGACAGTGGTGTCCAGGCCAACTTGTGCACACCTTAACTATCCCACCGTGCACCTGCTACCTTCCACAGCAAAGGTATTGAGTAACTCTGCCCACCAAAGAGTTAACTAGAAGTGTCGGGTTCGAGCTCCGGGAATTGAGTCCCATTTGGCAGGGAGGACTAAAGTAGTCGTCCCCCCCCCCACCCCACCCCACCCCCCAAGAGTGGGTTTTCTAGGACTTGAATCCGGATACACCAAAAAATATGGTGATGTTCACCCCCTGTCCTCGCCCTCTACAATATCCTCACCTCCCGGCCCCCACCCCCACCCCACCCCACCCCCCCAAAAAAAACTCAGACACCCACCTCAAAAACAAAAACTAAAAAAAATATGTTCGTGAAAAAACCATCTCAAAACAAGCAACATACTGAAATACAGATTTGTCTACATACAAAATTTTAAACCCTTAAACATGCATAAACAAAACAAAAGAAATTCTCGTTTTGCAGAGAACTGTTTAAAAAACCTAATGAAACACGACGACTAACACTTTTCAGTAAAGCATGCTCAAAACCGTACTAATAGAAAATAAAAATGAAATAAAACTACATGAAAAAGTAGGTAATAATACGAAATGTGTAATGTAGTAAAAACGAAATACCTGAAAATTCTATAAGCATTTGTAAACCCAATAATGAAATAGGGTAAAGGGTTTTAAAACCCCAAAAATTTTAGAAGAAGAGGGGGGTGGGTTGGGGTGGGGTGAGTGCGTAGTGAGGTAGAAGAAATGGAAAATGCTAAGGATGGTGATTTTTACAGAGCTAAATAAAATAATGCTTAGTATAGAGTATGGAGAGAGTAGGAAGGGTATGACTGTAAATAAGTGAACTTTGAAGGGCTAATTTAATGGGAATTGGTGAATATTTGTGACGTGGAAGATTTAGGGGAATTATTGGGTCCACTATCTGGTTCCTTAAAAACGAATTTGTGGACCCCACTATGCTGACATTTGATCTTGCCAAAAAAGAAAAAAAAAATTAAAAACAGTACCTCGTAATTTTTTTATTAGAGGTAGTGTTTCATTTATTTCCTTTTTTTTTTCCAACACCTATGCTAACCTATTAATCTTGCTCTTTAATTGATTTGATCTTTTTAATATTTTGATAAAGACAATTTTCATACTTGTATTATTTTTTTATACCTACTGTGTATTCTTATATTTTTTATCCTTAGATTTATAATACTGTCTGTTGTTTTTTTTTTGCTTTGGTTTTCTTATTTTCTAGTTGTGGTTAATGCTTCCCATTACGTGATTTCCTTTTTTTTTGTTATATATTTTTCTCGAGTCGAGAGTCTATCAGAAACAGATTCTTTAACTTTACAATATAGTAATAATATTGCGTACACACAATTCTACCCCGATGCGTTTGTGGCACTACACTAAATACATTGTTGTTGTAATAGAAAAACCTTCACATTTTTCAATAAAAGTAAGATACGACGACTATAAAAAAGACTTAGTAACATTTTTCTTCATGTGCTACAGTCCTGAGTTGTGGATATGTTGATGGATCTTTCAATTGTTCATTAATAAAAAGACTTATAGTTTGTTTGGCCAAGTTTTTTTTGGGCTAAAAGTATTTTTTTTTTTTTTTTTTGCCAAAAGCACTTTCGGCCAAAAATTTAGTTGTTTGGACAAGCTTTTGAAAGGAAAAAAAGTGCTTTTGAGGAGAAGCAGAAGCAATTTTGAAGAAGCAGAAAAAAGTAGCTTCTCTCCAAAATCATTTTTCTGAGAAGCACTTTTGAGAAAATACACTTAGAAGCAGTTTTCAAAAGCTTGGCCAAACACTAATTACTGCTCAAAAGTGCATTTCTAATTAACTAGCCAAACACAAACTAAGTCTAACCAAAAGTACTTTTTTTAAAAGCACTTTGAAAAAAATACTTTTTAAAATAAGCTGATTTTAGAAGTTTGGCCAAACGGGCTATCAGTCCCGTGAATGACATGTGGTAAATCTACTGAAATATTTGTGTAAATAATGAGTGGATTAAGCTACTGTGAAACTAATTCTTGCTTTACTCACTGGTTCTAGACTTAAAAGTTATTTGTGAGAGTCACAAATCAAAATTTTTGGAGTGGTAACTTTACCTTCGGCGTTTGATTGAGAAACAAGTTATCCCATGATTAATTATTTCGGGATTAGTTATTTCGAAATTAGTTATCCACTCTTCCATAGGGATAAAAAATACTACAATCCCGGTATTAGTTGTACCACGATTTTATCCTAATCAAACGTGAGATAAACTCATCTCAAATTTTAAGCCCAAAATTAGTTACTCATTATCCCTCGTACCAAACGAGTCCCAAATGTCACTTTTATAGATATTGGATTGCTAATACTTTCCTCAAGTATATTTCTCGTCACTTCCTGACAAGGACCAATATTATTTTCTGCACTTCTTGACCGGGACTAGTAAGCTATCACATGCATATTCTCGTAAACAGTCAAAAATATAATTTTTTACTGTTTGAATAAGTTTGACAAATAAAATTACAATATTTATTTATTTTTTCTGTAACTATTCGATGCTCGAAGTTCATTGTTTGGCTAATCCGATTCGCATCGTGTAAGTTCACTAAGAAAGATACAATACTTTATGCCGATATAACATATAAATAGCATATTCTCGTAAACAGTCAAAAATATGATTTTTTACTGTTTGAATAAGTTTGACAAATAAAATTATAATATTTATTTATTTTTTTCTGTAACTATTCGATGCTCGAAGTTCATTGTTTGGCTAATCCAATTCGCATCGTGTAAGTTCACTAAGAAAGATACAATACTTTATGTCGAGTGATTTTGTATTTCGAGGCACGAACCCGTAGACCTATAGTTAAGATTGGGAAGTTCCAACTATTATGCCGCCATCTTTGTTGATGTATAGTTAGGGTTTAATACATGTGAGGAATAATCATAATCATCAAAAGAATGTGATGAAATAGATATGATTCCTCCGTAGGTCTTGTATTCGAGCTCCTCGATCCTGCACAATTCAGACCAGCTAGTATCTGTTTAATTTACTTAATGCACTCAAAAGCCTTCGCATGGATAATAAAAAAAACCTCTTGATAGGAAGCCTTCTTCCTTTGATGAGTTATACACAACCCGAATTTGAATTAACGATAAAATTCAAATATCACATAAAAGAGCAACTCAGTGCACTAAGCTCCCACTATGCACGTGGTTCGGGGAAGGGGCGGAGCACCAGGGTCTATTGTAGGCAACCTTACCCTGCATTTCTGCAAGAGACTGTTTGCACGGCTCGAATCCGTGCCCTCCTGTTCACATGGCAGCAACTTTACCAGTTACGTCAAAGCTCCCTCCTTTAAGGGTCTATCATACACAGTCTTACCCTGCATTTCTGCAAGAGGTTGTTTCCACGACTCGAACTCGTGACCTCCTGGTCACATGGCAGCAACGACTTTATCAGTTACCAAGACTTCCTAGGTGCTCATTTTGTCTAGTTTAATGTTTCTATTCAGTGGACGTCGTTATTGGCAAGAACTTATTGAAGACAAGTTATTACAAATACAAGAGCGGGCAGCGTATTGTATGAACCAGCGTGCGGACCGTGTAAATCTGGCTCATAACCTTAAGGTCATGGATTCAAATCCTGTCTATCTTGTTTATCCAAACTATTTTAGGGTTGACTTTATTAACTAGTGGAGTAATTAATTCACGCCTTTCGCTTTTTGGGGTGAAAGAAATCTTCTTCAAATATCACATAGTTAAAAATAATATTTTTTAGGAATGTTAGGGTCAGAAGAGGTAAGGACAGAAGTCACACAATGACAAATCATATTCTCAATTTCTGTTAGCTTCACACATCCCTACAAAAGTTCCCAAACACACAAAAAAGCCACAAATCAAACCAAAGCCACACCTTTTACACAAAATTAAATCATGTCACAACAAATCAAGAAACACAAACACAAAATATACATTCACATCAAACCTTCCAATTCCATGAATGAAACAACAACCTTCTCTTTTCCTTAACTCAAAATCCAACACCAACCCACCACCCCCTTTACCACCCCCACAACAATGTCCACAACACAATCAGAAAAACAAGCACTTTTCATTACCTCACTTATAATTTTCTGGTACTCATCAAATATTGGTGTCCTCCTTTTAAACAAACTCTTACTTTCCAATTATGGTTTCTCTTTCCCAATTTTCCTTACTATGTGTCATATGTCAGCTTGTGCTGTTCTTAGTTATGTTTCAATTGTTTTCTTAAAGATTGTACCTTTTCAAAGGATTAAATCAAGATCTCAGTTTTTTAGACTTGCTACACTTAGTATTGTCTTTTGTGGGTCTGTAGTAGGTGGTAATATTTCTTTAAGATATTTACCTGTTTCATTTAATCAAGCTGTGGGTGCTACCACACCATTTTTCACTGCATTGTTTGCTTATTTGATAACACTGAAGAGGGAAGCTTGGATTACTTATGGTTGTCTTGTTCCTGTGGTTGCTGGTGTTGTTATTGCAAGTGGGGTATGTTTATTAATTTAGTATTTTTTAGTTAAAGTTTGAATCTTTAATTTTGGATCAATTGTTAATTTTCTGTTAGTTTGTGTCTTATTTGGTTTTGATCTGTTCTTGATTTAATTTGTTGAAGAAAGAGAAATCTAATTATGAGCTATTTGGCATCTTGATAAATCTATGGTTGTTTAACATTAAAAAATAAAAATAATAAAATTTGAAGGTTAGCTCTTGCTAGTGCAAATTTGTTAGATCTGAGAATTTGTAGCAGTTAATTTGGTGAGTTTTGCGACTTTAATAATGCTTGTGATTTCTGTATTTTTCAGTTTTTACTTTTTGATTTTTCTTTGGAATGAGAATTTCGTTTGTTATGAAATTCTACTCAATTGTCATAAAGATTATGCTTTTTTGAACAAGATGTTATTTGGTTGAAGTCTGTATTCATGTTATTCAAAGAAGGTGACTTGGAATCTATGTTGCTTGGATCCTTCAAATATGCCGCCGGGTGTGTGTCGGATCCTACAAAAGTTAATCATTTTTGGAGGAACCGACACAGTAGAGCAGCATTTCCGGCAGATTCGAGCAACATAGCTTGTAATGACACTTTTGTTCTTGTTCATGGAATGTGAAAGTTAATAATATAGTCACAATTGTGTGATGAATAAGCTATCATGAAAGTTAGTTGTGGCATCACGTTAAAAAAAATTTCAACTGCTTTTATAATTTAAGTTATTGGGAACCGCTTAATATACCTCTTTATTAGCAATTTTAAGTGCATGATCAGCTTTTTCTGATGGACTAACAAAGTATGTGGATTGATGACAGGGCGAGCCTAGCTTCCACCTTTATGGATTCATCATGTGTATAGGTGCAACTGCTGCTAGAGCGTTTAAGTCTGTTCTTCAGGGCGTCCTCCTTTCCTCTGAAGGGTAAGTAAATTGCTGTTTCTGAACATCTGTGCCGGTGTTGCTCTTTGGGAATAGAATAACAAGGATAAGAGACAATGTGCATTCATTTTCTTTCTGGTGTATGTCAATTCTTTGTTCCAGTACTGCACACTCTTTGGATTTCTGGTTGGGGTTGGCAGATAATACTACAAACATAGTTCAGTATTTAACGATCTTTCTTCTTCCAACTTTTTCCGCTTTTCTGGTCTTCTGGTAGTTAGCTTCTTTTTGTCATTTATTTGTTCAATTGTGAACTTGTGAGTTGGCTAAGAATGGGATTGAAGAGAACATAGATTTTGGTATTCATATCTGATTACATATTTGTGGTTCATCTTCTGCGTCAAAACTTACCAGTCATCTCTCAAGCATTATATATTTGGGTATGCGTATTTGGTTGATGAAGTTGCATCTCCTTCATACTTAAAAAGGACAGCTCGGTGCACTAAGCTCCCGTTATGGGCGGGGTTGGGGGAAGGGCCTGACCACAAGGGTCTATCGTACGCAGCCTTACCCTGCATTTCTGCAAGAGGTTGTTTCCACGGCTCCAACCCGTGACCTCCTTCATACTTATCAAAAGGAAATTATGTCTCATTCATTTGTTTCATTGATACTCTTTTTACCAGCTCATTTTAACCTGCTTTCATTTTACAGGGAAAAGTTGAACTCAATGAATCTGCTGCTTTACATGTCACCAATTGCCATTCTAGTTTTGTTGCCTGCGACATTCGTAATGGAACCCAATGTGATAGATGTCACTACGACACCTGCAACAGAACATAGATACCTTGGCCTACTTATTTTGGTCAATTCGGCGATGGCATATGGAGCCAATTTGCTGAACTTTTTGGTGACAAAGCATACCAGTGCGTTGACACTCCAGGTAACTAAACATTCCAGTGCATTTGATAGGGAGTATATAACAAAAAAATCCGATTTTGCTCTATTTGGACAGTGTTCGCGGATTCAAATACAGCCTTGCCTGAACCTAGCTCTACCCCTGTTGTTTACTTATCAAAATATACTTATGTATATTGTTAAATATGCAATAAAATGGAGTTTAATATTAGGTCACAACCAATTAATTTTCTGAAATAGTTCTAACACAAGATTCCTTGAGCCGGGGGTCTATTAAAAACAGTCCCTCTACCCTCAAGGTAGGGGTAAGGTCTGCGTACACAATACCCTCCCGAGACCCCACTCGTGGGATTATGCTGGATTTGTTGTTGTTGTTATAGTTCTAACACGAGAAGTAAGTAGTTTCTCCGAAATTACTCATGCAATTTTACATCAATATACACATTAAATAGTGGTATCCATTGCTTTTGACTCGTCCTAAACGTCTTCATACTCTGTCAACTTCTCTAGGTCCTAGGAAATGCAAAAGGCGCTGTGGCTGTTGTTATATCGATACTTCTTTTCCGAAATCCTGTAACTTTCATTGGAATTGCGGGCTACACAATGACTGTGATGGGGGTTGTTGCTTATGGAGAAGCCAAAAGAAGATACAAATGAGCTGACATTTGGCCTTTGTTTCTTCTCCGAGGAAGCCCCATACTTTTGTTTTCTTAGTTTAGAGACATATTGTAGACTTAAGACAAAACAGATTCCGCTCCTATGTTGTAGCAGATAGACAGATAGGAGATAGAGAAGGGGTACGTAGCGAGGGGATTGTTCTCATTCATCAGCTGCAATCTTTACATCCAGATGTTAGGATGTATGGATTTGTATCAGACTCTTGATGTTATTACATTAAAGCAATTTAATGTCGTATTTGATATCTTTTTGCTCTTGTGCTAAGTTATTTGTCCGTCTATCTCAAAATTTTCTGTTGATGATGAGATTGTTAGGCGTGCATTTATGCTTAAAGAATGTGAGGAACTATAAAGATGCGTTTGAAACTTGGTGGATAATGGGTCCGCTCCTGCCCCTCTACCTTTTTCCACTTAAATACCAGGCTTTTGCCTGTGACAGCTCGATCTCCACTTAAATACCCAACCTTTAATCTATGACAACATTCAAATTTCAAACCCTGTGACATGCGCCTAATCCAAATATCACACGTTGCACTCCAGCCATAAGACCAAAGCCGTGAGCCCTAGAAGACTCTTGCTAAAGTCAGTTGATTTTGCAAATCTTTTGACCCTTTATAGCAACAAAATAAGTTTTTCTTAATGCAACTGAAGCTGCAAAATGTAGAAATCATGTTAGGAGTAGCTAAAATTCATATTATAATATTATTAGTTTTGTAATAAAATATAAAGCCCCAACTCTTGTTAATAGCTTCCACGATCTCTCTTCAATGTCTAAACTCTAAATGACTACACACTTTTCACTGCACAAGCCACAATAATATCCAAGATCTGGATCTCATCTTCTAAATTTTATTTCACAACATTCAGAATAAAACTATTTATTTCCCAACTTTTAACCATCTGCACTCAAAGTGACAAATGAAAAAACCTTGTAGAGAACATATACACATGCATTTACTACGCCACCATTTTTCAGTAATATTTTAGCTTAGTAACATCGCTTTGATAGTGGAGTAACATGTAGTTCTATCACTTCTCTCTCTCCAAATATTATGTAAGCATTTCCAGTTTTGTGGTCCAAACCTAGTAAAGTATAATTTTATTGACGAATGAACACATTTGTCCCTTATACTTTCATTTTATCTTTTTGTGTAACTAGACTATATTCATAATTCATGAATATATTCGTGAATATAAATAAATTTGGACATTCAAGAAATTGGGTGGATAGACTCCTATATAATATTGGGAAGATCTTAGTGAAGAAATCTAGACCTAACAAAAGAAGTAAACATGCATGTTGTGAAAGACTAGGATGAGAAATAAAACGAAACATTAGCTTTTCATGTGTTGCCTTCAAACTCTATAAGTACTTAAAAGAAGTTCAACGAGTAGGATATCTTCATCCTTAACAAAAGATCGCAGTTTCAAATCCATTGAATAGAGAATCTTTGCATAAGAGAATTGTACCACCTTAGTAGGCCTGCTCGATACAAATCCATATTAGTGGGACAGTGAACTTCGGGAACCGGATGGTTCGACCAAAAACAACCATCACTAGATAAACGAATGAAATGCATTAAAAAAATAAATGAATCTCAAGAGGAATAACAAAGTAATGTATTGGAGAAAGCTTGGGGATGAACAAATAGACGAGAAGGCAAAGAAATGTTAAATCCGAGTGAGAATTTGTCAAAACATAACAGTGGATCAAGCAGGAAATTACTCCTCTCATTTCAATTGTTTCAACCTATAAACACTTCCAGAGCATTACGTAACCAACGAGAGTGCAAAGTTTCAAAATCTGGTCTTCTCATGAATATTTTCTTCACAAACCAAAAAGAAAGAAAAGTAGCTTTTCCATCAAACAAATAATGAATTCCCAACTTCTCAAGCACCTGTGCACAAAAAGAGACGAGAATCGACCAAGAACTTTCAAGTGGAACTTGGAGGTTAGATGGTAAATTTAGCTGTTTTTTAAGTCTTTATTTTGTATTTCTTTCCATTTGTTTTGTTTTCGTTCTCACCTCAAAGGCTCAAACAGGTCTAGTAGCATCCGAAGTTCGACCAAGCAAACCATATATCTCTTAAGAATCTGATTACCACACTCCTAGGCAAGTTCTGGACCACTTGGTAGCAGATCATAGCCGTCATGGTGCTTAGAAGTCTCCTTTTCGACAGGGATCAACTTCAAAATAACAGCAACAATCAAGCTTGCAGCACCAATCAAGACACTGATCAGCCATAGTTGCCAGTTAAGTGGTGTAGTGCTGGCAAAAGTGCCTAAGAACTCGACGATGATAACTTGGAAAACAACTGTCGCAAACATGACTCCTAAGAAAATCCAGCTGCTAAAAATGCCACGGAAAATGTTTATCTTCTCCATATCACGACTGTTTATTTCGTTGAACACCTGTACAAAACCAATCAAGAGTCAGATGGCTAGTGAAGGTCCTTCCGTATGAGAATGCAAATCCACTTTTCAATAGAATTTGGTATCTTCTATATCGGGTTTTCGTTACACTAGTACACAGCACTAAAGAATGAACTGAAAAGGACTGCTACTGGTATATAGATACAGTGCTCAAGATAAAAGCTGGCTTGATAGAATAAATAACTGAATATAAAATACATACCTGACAAAACACAAAGGTGTTAAAAATGAAGGTATTCTGGATTTTTGTAGCATCTGAACCTTCAAGTCTCAAAATCTGCTTTCCGGCAAAGTTGAAGGCTAAGAGTATAGCCAGCTGGTAGATACTGTGTCCTATTATGTTTCTCCACATTGTCTTTGTAATGAAACTCACATCCCTTCCAACAGGAGGCCGACTCATTAGTCCATCATGGGGTGGTTCAGTGGCCAGTGCCAATGCACCTAGAGTATCCATGATAAGGTTGACCCAAAGCAGCTGAACAGCAGTGAGAGGAGCAGATCCTGAAAGTTGTTGCAGCAGATAAGTATTCAGATACTATTTCCTTTTTATTCTGTCCCAAAAAGAATGATACCTTTTTATATTTACAAACAATTTAACTTTAAGCTTCTCATTTTACTCTTAAGGAGATGATTTATAACCACACAAAAACCAATGACTTGTTTAAGACCGTAAGTTTAAAAAAAATTCTTTATTTCTAAAATTCCGTGCCCATTCTCTCTCCCCCCCTCTACCCCCCCCCCCCCCTTCTGTCTCTGAGAGTGAGTTTTGATTCTTTAATATGGCAAGAAAAAAATTGAATGAACTCAATCAAAGCAATGAATACCTGAGGCGCATGCAGAAATAAAATTGATCATCAGAGCCACAACATTGACAGTCAACTGGAATTGCACGAATTTTTGAATGTTTATATATACAGAACGGCCCCATTTAGCCACATTCACAATTGTCCTGAAGTTGTCATCAAGCACTATAATATCGGCACTTTCTTTTGCAACCTGATAATGTAATTTGAAAAAAGTGAAGATCAGAGACAGCTTTAAAGTTTCAATATGTACCAAGTACTAATCTAGGTAAGATCTAACAAACAACCATAATAAACCGCTTGAACATGTGACACTTTTTCAGGAGAAACAAAAAAGCTAAAATGCATACGGACGGTTTGTAGAATTTTCCCAGCAAATGTTGACTAAAATCACATACACAGGAAAAAACAAGTTCTACTTATGTGTTGGAAATTAATGAGTTCTAGGTGATCAATTGAATGCTTAAGCTTACTATTTTGGTGAGATGATATTGAAAAGAAAGATGAAAAGGAATATTCAAGCAGGCAGCTTCAAGCATCGATGAGATAGTTAATGTATCATGGATATTAAAAATATAGAATATAAAGAAGACTGCAATTGGTAAGAGAATTTAAGCATGCTTATGCCCATATATGAAAAGTGAAGGAAAAAACCTTCAAACTGGAGCATGCAACAGGAAAATGGTATATATGACCATATCAACCCAGAGCAGGAGCATATGTACAAACCTCTGTTCCTGCTATACCCATGGCCAGTCCAATATCTGACTCATGCAGAGCAGGGGCATCATTTGTGCCATCACCAGTAACGGCGACAACTTCTCTAAACATGCCTCTTAAATTCTTTACCAGCACATGCTTGTCTGTAGGGGATGATCGAGCCATAACCTGCATACAATATATAAAGCACATTTTCAGCAAACTGTATTCAAAGAGAAGGATGTTCAAAAAAGCAATGAAAAGCACACCTGAATTCTAGGAAGTATTTGCCTCATTTCATCAGGACTTTTGTTGCGAAATTCTGGGCCTTCAATGGCCAAACCATCAGCAGTTAGTATACCACATTCTTTAGCAATAGCTATGGCCGTATTAATATTGTCCCCTGTGACCATCCTTACAGTAATTCCAGCAGCTAAACAAGTTTTAACTGCCTCTTTAACCCCAGGGCGAACTGGATCTTTGATTCCAACTACTGCTACCAATATGTAGCCACTATCGGGGATATTATTTTCTTGATAACCATCTTCGATATCCTTGAAAGCCAAGCAAAGAGTACGCAAGGCTTCATCAGCAAACTCCTTAATGACACCCATGATGTTTGTAACATGTTCTTCTGACATATCAACAATTTCACCATTAGAATCAATAAACCTGTCACACATTTTCAAAACTATCTCAGATGCACCCTTGCAGAAAGCACGGGTATTGCCATCAGGAAGAGCAACAAGCACTGACATTCTTTTCTTTGCTGAATTGAATGGTTCAACCTTCAGCATATTACAATCCTTTTTTCTATCATCAATATCACCAAGAAGTAATCCGTATTCTAATATTGCAGATTCTGTGGGTGTACCCAGAACAGATTTCTTTCCATCCTTGTCTTTAACCACCTCAGCTCCTGTATTATGAAATATTGCCTGCAAAAGAAACTCCAGTGCACTTTCTGATATATCCGTTATTGCATCTCCACCTGCACCATTTTCTACCTTTTTAGCCTTTCCACAAATCCATATTTTATTTACTACCATATGGTTTGTTGTTAGTGTTCCTGTCTTATCCGTGCAGATGCAAGATGCTGAACCCATTGTCTCACAAGCAGAAAGATGCCTCACTAATGCTTTATTATCCATTAACTTTTTCATTGCAAATGCAAGGCTCAGTGTGACAGCCAGAGGTAGTCCTTCAGGAACTGCAACAACGATTATAGTTACAGCGGTGGCAAAGTAATTTAGAAGAGTTAATGCATCACTGGAAGACCATATGGTGAATTGATGGTGAGTAGCTTTATCCACCATAAATCTGACTATTAACACAAGAAAGGTCACCACAGCAAATCCCAGCCCTATCTTTCCAATAATAGTGGCAACACCATTCAGCTTAACTTGTAGAGGAGTCTCATCTTCTCCTCCTTCGCTAAGAGTTTCCATAAGCTTACCCCATTCAGTTCTCATACCAACAGTGGTCACTAGCATCTTAGCTGAACCATCTTGTACTTTGGTTCCTGATAGAAGAAAAGGTCTTTTTTCATATATGCTTACTGGCACACTCTCACCAGACAAGCTCGATTGATCAATTAGCAAGCTATATCCTGATATGAATATTCCATCAGCCGGAACAAGATCTCCAATAGATAAGTGAACTACATCACCAACCACCAAGTCATAAATGGAAACCTTCTGCCTTGATCCATCTCTTGTGACCTGGATGGATATCTTTTTCTTCTCCTTATCCAAATCCCTGAACTGCAACGACTGCCTATAGTCACTAACCGCAGTAACAAAGACTACCAAGAATATGCTGAGTAGAATTCCTAAACCATCATACGTTCCTTTTGGCCACCCTTCAGTAGCAAGTCCGACACCAATGGAAACAACAGCACAAACTATCAGGATGACGAGAGTTAAATCATGCAGAGCCTCCCACACGAATGTCCAAAAACTTCTAAAAGGTTTCTCGGTGAATTTGTTTGATCCATATATATTTTGTCTCACAGCCACATCACTAGATTTGACTCCTTCGTTTGATGAGACTTTCAATTTACCTGCAAGCCCTTCAACACCTCCAAGTTTCTTTAAGGTTTTTATATCATAGGAACCAACTATAGATGCAAGTTTATCAGGGTTAATTCCAAAGCCAGCAGCTCGAGCTTCTTCTGGCAAGTCTTTTGCCAGTTCAGCCCCTATATCTTCTCTGACCAGGTCAGAAGGCCTACCATGATCACCAGCTGTAAAAGAATAGAAATGAAATGAGAAAAAGCAGAAAGAAACTTGCGGAGCAGCTACATGTTTTAATGAGTTAAAAAATAAACTGAAGATATGAGCAAATTGTACCATCAATGAACTTGAGTGCTGCCATATAAGCCATGAAACCAACTCGAATCTTTTCCTGGAAATTGCATGTGGTAAGAAATGTAGCTTGCTCAGTATACAAGATTAGAGAAGTTATATCAGTCACCAACACAGTCCTCCATAGTATGGTTACCAAAATCAATGACCAAACCCACGCTTTCCAGTTATATCATTAGTTCCATGACGAGACAACATAGTTTTGTCACAAGATTGCTCTGATTAGGGAACTCAACTATAGTATTTTAACAGCAAAATGATTCATTAGTTTTGTCACAGGATTGCTCTGATTAGGGAACTCAACTATTGTACTTGAACAGCAAAGTGACAGCAAAATGATTCAGGTTCTCAGTAAAATGATACACCGATCATTCTTAGTGTCATAAGATATGGATGATGCCAAGAATCAACTGCTTTTATTAACAAAAGTAGTGTTTTCCAAATGACCATTATATAATTTTTTCAATATCAAGTGACAACTAGACATTAACACAATATAACACTTTATGTCTACATACTAATGCTTTTTGTAGTGACAGATCAAAAGGATAAACTTTAAAATAACTATAGCAGGCTGATTGTTGAAGAATTGCAATAACAAGGTCATATTATGGGTGAGGGCAGAGGCGGATTTAAGATTTGAGTTTTATGAGACCAGGATGTCACTAAACCCACTGACCTTTTGAGTTGCCGATTCAAAATTTAATATTTGAACATGTTTAATAGATTTCTTAGCACATATATAAGGTTTGAGTCAAAACAACTAGTTCAGCCGAATCCGTAGTGCACCCGGCCACCCGCCCCAGATCAGGGAAGAAAAACATCATCGTTCAATGTGCACTGTCGGAGGGATGCGGTTGTTGCCGGCATAGGAGTATCTCAAAAAACTGAAGCAGCAACTTACATGGAACAAAACAGCAATACAGGCAAATCATCACTTAGATTGAACAAATCTTTTTTTTTCTCTTTCAAATCTTTGCATGTCAAGAGACCTTTTTTGCAGTGTTATGATAATTATGCATTACGGTGATGATGGTACTTATTTGATTTTCCTTTGTTTGTAGAAACGTCTCAACCCTGTTACTTTTTTCAAGTTTTCTGTCTTCTTGCAGCTTGCAACTTGCAGGATGGCATAGTAGCTTTGAATGCACTAGTTTTGTATAATTTACACAAAAAGGAACAAATGTTACTATAGATATAACATGTAGTTTGTTGAGCATTTTGTTCAAAGCATAAAGCATTCACATGTCAGCTACTGTGTATTTTTTTGTACGTGACTGTCCTGTTTCTCTTCTCTTTTCTTTTCTCTTATGTATATTTTATGACGCAAGTGTTTGGACCACCTTCCGCACAACTAGGCTATCTTACGATACTTGGTGCCTTCCACAAGTACGGGTAACTCTACCCGCCAAAACTTAGACAGATGAAAACCTAGTGATTTGAACATCAGCTCCACCCACCTTAACGGATACCCTTTTTCCTGAGACATTTATTTTATTTAATAAGGTAAACCCAAAGACTTTTCTAGCTATCATGTGATTAGATGGTCGAGAAGTAAAATAGTCCAGACAAGGAATATGGGATGTTATACGTCAAAGAATACAATTTAGGGTCTGTTTGGAAAGCCACCGGGTAATTGAATTTGGTGTAATTACTAGGGTAGTAATTACACAACCTAGTAATTACACAGTTATGTAATTACGACGACATGTTTGTTTGTCATAGTGTAATTACATGTTTACTGTTTGGTGCACAAGTGTAATTACGCAGTTACATTAAATTTTAAATGAAGTAATTATCAGAAAAGTTAATATAATAAATATATGCCATAAATTTTTATAAGTATAAATGATATTATATTTGGTATTTAAGATGTATGTTTTTTTCGTGAATATACAATTAATTAGTAATGATATATTTATAAGTAATATTGTAAAAATAATTTATATACATATTCAAATTAATAATATTTAATTTAGATGCTTACAAAAACTAAAAATTATACGTTTTGTAAGAACATCATGGAGTTCATGTTTGATAAAATAAAATAATATTTATAAATATAATGTCATAACATTATTCAAATGTTTGACAGAACTAATCTATCAATTCTAACTAAAAAAATGAGCGACATGCAATGTGAGTCAATACTACTAAATCAAGTAAATCAGAACCATGAATATAACACAATTTCAAAATCTAAAAAAATAGTCTAACATATGCCAAATTTCAATATAATAATAGTAAGTTCCACTATAACTTAAGATTAGGAAACATAATAAGTTTATAACTACATTCAACAACGAAATTCCTCTTTAATTGCATGACTCATTATTTCTAATATTAGGAGGTGTAGTTTTAAAAAATAGAATAATAAAATAAATAAAAAATAAAATATAAGCAATTACATAGAATCACAAGTAAAGGTAGAGAAATAAAATTTAAATAATGGTACAAAGAAAAAAATATTTTAAAATTTTAAAAGAAATTATAAAGTAAAATAAAATTAAAAAATTAAAATAATAGAAATAAAAAGTTATAAAGAAAATAAATTAAAATAAAAACAAAAAGGAAAGAAACTAAAAAGTAACCCTGTAATTACACAGTGTATTACCACCAATTCTCACCTCCCCTTGAGAATCGGAGAGTGTAATTACACCGCTCCAATTACACTCAATTTCATGCTGACCAAGTAATTACTTAGCCAAATAAATATGTCAAACTGTATAATTATACCCAATTACACCCAAATCTATTTCCAAGATGGCTTTTTAAACATTCTCTTACGGTCACAGAATACCAATTGTTTATGTTTTCTTTATCAAAAGGAAAAAATTTAGAGTCACAGACAACAAGAATATAACAGTGGTGGAATTTTTTATTAAGAGAAATACGAGAAGTAGGAATTGATGTTCCATGTGGCAACCAACGGTTAGGCAAAACAAACGAAACACTTCTTGGTGGGACAAACAAAAAACTGCAGATGGGGCCAAACTGCCAGCAAAGCCTCAAAAGATATTTTATTTCGGGTCACCCGTCTCCTTCTGTACTTCTTAGTATACTATTCAATGTCAATGTCACAAGGAAATTTCGCTGCTGACTACGTGTTAATTAGCTAGATTTTGACCATTTTGGCACTACATTAACTACGACGTATTCCGTACTGTTTCTCCAATTCTAAAATCCTAAAACCCATTATTCAGAACCCAAACCTCACTCAAAGGTTCTTTTAGCCAGGAGAAAGCTCCTAATAGTATAATTTAAGCATGTGCGTGACCACAAAAGAACAAACTTCTTTTAAGCTCTATCAGAGATGAGGTATGGTTTGTTATCTCCATGCGAATTGATGCCTGGAAAGAGCAATTTGCACTGCCACTCCTATGATGCTAGAAGAAATGTCAATGTCAGAAGGAAGTTTCAAGGAAATTTCGCTGCTGACCAAATGTTCAGTAGCTACACTTTTGACATTTTTTGGCACTACATTAACTACATCATATTTGATGTTGTCCCAAAAAGAATCTTTTATATAGAAATTTTTTTAACTACAAACTTTTTATTTATCCTTGCTGAGATGACACATAAAATTATTATAACTTATTTTAGATTACAAATTTAAAAAATCTCTTTTGCTTTCTTAAACTCATACCAAGGTAAATTTCATATAAAATGGGATGAAGGGAGTAATAAGCATCTGGTAGTGCACATAAGAACAGACTTCTAAGTTATATTTCATATAAAATGAGACGAAGGGAGTAATAAGCATGTGGCAGTGCAGATAAGAACAGACTTATTTTGTACTCATCTACTCAGCAGATGAGCTATTGAGCTCTACTGCTCTTCCAGAGATGAGATATGGACTGCTTTCTGCATGCAAATTGAAGTGTACATAGAGGAAAAGAGCACATTGTGCGGCAACTACTGCAGTCTTGTGAAGTCCAATTTTGAAAGTTGAAATTACCATACTCACCGTACAATTAACAGTGGCTTTGTGTTTCTTCAGAAATGCGGCAGACCATAAGTTTTTTTTGTAAGTTTAGAAATAATGGGGCAGACCATAAGTATGATTAAGAAGGCAGCTAAAAGATCTCAAATCCTTATAACGTTTTAGGCACAGAATTAACACAACCATTTATAAGTACGTAAGAATTAATCAAGCTAATTTAATGACAATGACGTTAAGCAATGTTTGACAACACACTTTAATGGGGAAACAAAGCATGTGTCCTAAAGGCAAAACAATCTAAGGTAAATATGAACCCCACCTTCCCCCACCTCCCCCCCTCCAAGATAAATACCAGGCTTCAATCTCCATGTAAATATTAAGTTCAATAATCTAAGTTCCCGTTAAACATAGATTTGGGTTATTTTTAAAAAAATACTATTTGTTCATCAAGTTTGATCAGTTTCCGAAAAAAATTTAAAGAAAAATTTTTAGTTTCCAAGTGAATATTTTTTTCCAGTCATAAAATATTAATATTATTTCAAGTAAAATGCATATCCAAACACAACAAGTTCAGAAAATTATTTCTCAATACAACTTCACAAACACTTTTTTTAAGTTTTAACTAAATTTATATCCAAACGATGGCTAAGTCATAAATTCCTCAAACTTTTGTCACTTAAATTAAGCTGCGAGCAAATATGGAAGAACCCTTTTTATCAACAACAGAACATATTATGCTGGCAAGTTACCTAAACCCAAACTCAAAAGGGGGGCCTCAATAAAAAAGGGAATAAGTTCATCTCTTTACTGAACTACCGTGATTGTAAATTTTTAGATGGTCCCCGTAAACCACCAATGCATTATCCAATTGTTAGGCAGCCCACAACACCAAAACAGTACCCTACACTGGTAGATATAGATAATCATAATAACGTAAGGCTACGGTCAGTTATTTTGCCTCTAGAATCTAGACCAAAATGACGAGGGCCTCATTTTCCTCCAAAAAGTCATTGCATTTAGCAGCAGCAGCAGGAAATTAGTCCCCATTAATAAAGTCTAACTAGTTTGTCAATAAAAAATTACTACCTCGGTTCATTTTTACTTATCTACAGTATAAAAAATATATTTTCACTTATATTTATTCATTTTAGCAAATCAAGAGAAAGATAATTCTTTTGATCTTGTTTTACCCTTATCATTAATTACTCATTTTCAAATTATTTTTCAAGAGTTTTTGAAATACTATAATTATTAGGGGTTATATGGTAAAATACATACTACAGTCAAACTTCTCTATAAAAGCCTCACCCGTTCCAGATTTTTTTGGATATTATAGCATAGTGTTGTTATAAAAAATATATTTAAAAAATATCATGAAAATTGATTTCATAAAGAAACTTGGCTTTTATAGTAAATGGTTGTCTGACTATACAATTATTATTAGTTTTTATGGGACGTAAAAAATTGAAAGAGGACTAGTAAAAGTGAATAGATGGAGTACTAAATATTGTGTTTGACTTGCTGACCAACGAATAGTTCTATCATAAAGCTAGAATATATTTATAATAAATCATTTATTAACGGAAAATTTAAAATTTGTTGTTGTTGCATTAATTAAGAAATTAAACATAAACTAATTCATTTGCCTAACCAGATCTGGTTTTTAACTGACACAAATGTTTTCTATGAAACTCTCATATTCATTTTTGTATTTAACTTTAATATAATTGTTTATAAATTTTTAATAGATATACTTTTTAAGAAATTATAAAGAATATTGGGAAAAGTTTACATCTTTCAGTCTTCCCTCATGTAAGATCCAGGTTTTTGTTTCTATTTATCCTCCATATTAAAAGTAATTTGCTCGCAAGTGGAAGATAGTCCAGCGGAGAATCCAAAAAAGAAAAAGGACCAACAATTTTCTAACTAATCGCATCCGAAAAGTCAAACAAGAATATGTCATTGTAGAAAGGAAATATAATAATACGAATCAAATATGGAAAGTGCTGAAGCACTACTAATGGTGGATTTCATAAGATCTTTTACCATGTATACACTCTCATTTTATATATTGTTGAAAAAACGAACTTTTTGACAAATTAAGTTTTATGTGATGATCGCATAGAATTTTTTTTTACACATCACATCTAATTGCAAGTAATTTTATTTAATAGAACTTAAAATAAATATTTAAGTAACTTATATAACAGGTTTTTTACACTGATTGTATAAAAAATACATAATGTAATCAGATTGTATATAACGATAAATCCAAAAATAAAAGGCGGATCTGTGATAAATTTTCTGTGGTTGAAAATATTGTAAAATATTTTGGACATGAAAAAGGATGAGATTTACAGAGCAGGAGAAATGTTAACATTTCCATAACAATTTTCGGTGTTTTCCATCAATGTACATATATTTTGGCACAAGGTACCATTGTTATGAAGTATTACTCATTTATCATGTATTAACGTTCTAGCTAGAATATCTAATCGTCTATTTATTTAGACGTTAAAAAAACAAAGAGAAGTTCAAATGGAAACGAGATTTCAAAGCCGAAAATTCTTACCGATCCAAAAAAAAACTAGTAGAAAGTTTCAAAAAAAAAAGGTAAATCTTCTACACAGATCATAATTGAGCTCATTCCGCCTTATTTCTCGGAAAACAAAAATAAAAGAGATGATCTGTCTCCATCTCTACCAATGAAATGTACAACTATTCAAGCATATTGTATCAAACTGATCAAGCACGCCATAAACATTTCCGATGTTCTTCCCAGTAATGTAAAGGTATTTCACTATAAAATATCAAAAAAAAATATCTCGATTTCGGATTTCAAAATCAGTTCTATAAAGTTTTTCAAAAAGTATGTAAATCTTCTCAGTTATCATAAGCGAAATCGAATTCGAACTCATTTTCAGGTTTATATTCTATTCAAAATAAAATTTACAAGTATCAACGCACATTGTACAGCACTTGTGGAGCATCATATTCCAAATTTCATAATTACATGATTTCCAGAGAACTTTCAATGACATTTGATTTAATTACCAGACATATTAAGTATGTATTTCCTGTTCTAACAACAATCTCTATTCATCTATTTAGAGTAAAAAATAACAAAAACACAAGATTTCAACATTGAAGAAAACTCTTCTCGTTAAAGAAAAAAACTCTAAAATATATTGAAAAATTACTAAATCTTCTTCACTATACTCTTCCTTTTCCTGCGACTATTTTCATGATATTTTCACGGAAAGCATGAAAACAAAAAAAAAAAGGAGATGAAAACATACTCTGGTTTTTTCCATGAGCTCTTTAGCTTCTTCACGTTTTTCGAGATTCGGAGCATATCGGAACCGACGCCGGCGATTCTTAACGAGAGAAACAGCATCTCTCCATCTCCTCTGAGCTGCTTCCGACGGATATTTCGCCGGCAAATCAAACGCCTCCGGCTCCAACAGCGACATCGCGAATGTTTATAAAACCGTAGATTCGTAGATCAAATGAATACGTAAATAGGCTAATATATATATATCAGTAAGAGAAAAATGTTAAGCCGGAAATTTTATAAGAAGAAGCAGGAAAAAGGAAAATATTATTTTGGTGTTTTATTGGACTATTAATTTTAGAGAGAGAATAAAATTTGAACGGGGATTGGTTTACGAGCTTTTTCTTATTTTCTTTTTCTATAAATAGAAGACGCGTTGATTTAGGACAAATTTGTTAAAGTAGTCCCTTTAGTCTGGTTATATTGCTAGTTTGACCCTACCTTTGTTGACTTTTCTCTAAAAGTCAAAACAGGAGTTTTTTTTTTTTTTTTTTTTTTTGTGCAAAAGATAATATCATATATATTAGCTACTGTGGCATGGCTGTCTTGCCATACTTACTTAAACTATTTCTAAACAAAACTACATTAATACTACTACTACCATTAGCGTATAGCATAGTATTCCCATGGGCCTACTTTTATAGAAATTTAAGCTTTTTTTTTTTTTAAGTGCAGTTTGAGGCACTAAGCTACTATACGTAATATTACCCTGTATTTTTGCAAAAGCTTATTTTCATGGCTTGAAGCTTATTTTGACTTTACCAGTTAAGCTATATATATTATGATCAACATAGTTGTGATTGTAAATAATTATCTTTTTATTCGATCATTAAATAACGTGTAATATAGAAAATTATATTTACTTATAAGTGTTTTAAGTTCAAAATAAGCATTTAATGAAATTTAGTGGGACCTAATAGAAGTTTTTCGATTGTACATGATTTATTTTGCTTCAAAAAGTTAATAAAAGGACTGAATTACATGCTAAAGTTTAGGAGCTACACCTTTTGTTTGGTTTCCCGGTATCCAGTAACCGCATTGGGCCCGATTAAATATGAATTTTAGTCGGAAAGTCCTACATTGGAAGGTAAAGCGCCCCCCAACAAAGGTGACTCCATACCCAGGGCTCAAACCTGAAACCTCTGGTTAAGGATGAATGAGTACTTACCGCTCAACCACAACCCTTGTTGGTTTAGGAGCTACACCCTATCATAATATATCTTAGTTTCAAGATAAAAATTATCATTTTTATGAAGATTATATATAAATATCTTTTGAGTGGCATGCTAATATTAAAAAAAAGCAGCTATTAGTGTATTTAAATCAAATTATTTTAAAATAAAAAAAAGTAGGGGTAAGGAGCATGAAGAGCACTATGTCTAATTAAAATAGAAAAATTGTAAAGAAAGATTGAAATTTTAGGATCGGATACTTTTGGTGTGATATCAAAAGGTACTAGATCAAATGATAATTTTTTGGAAAGTTCCCATAATACTTTTTGCAAAAAGGAGAAGATCTCATTGGTTAATTGTATTTCTTTAAAGTGTTATTAACTTTAAATAAAGAAATAAACCATCCCCTACTTATTTAATTTTCAAGTTTTTTTCATGTAAATCGCAGTTTTACTTTCGTATGGCTAAAAGGCAAATGAAATTAGAAATTTCCATCTTTTCTAACTTCCAATTTAAGTTGATTGAAAATGTTGACTTCAAAGGATACCCCCACTCACGTACTTTTTCTTTCTTATTTTGTTGTGTTAAAGAAAAAAGGTTTGATTAATAATTGATGTCGGTGTCACATGAGCTTGATTGACCCAAAAGACACGGCCAAGTCTAAAACGAGCAAAGATAATATCGATATCGCATGAGCCTAATTGACCAAAATGACACGGCCAAGTCCGAATGAGCAAGATGATGCCGACGTCGCACAAGCCTGATCAACGCTAAGGACATGGCAAAGCCCAAACGAGCAATATAATGTCTGTGTCACATGAGCCTCCCAAATCCCAAGGGCACGCCCAAGTCCAAGACAAGTACGACCGTTATGGTATGATTCATGCTTAAAATTGGAAAAGAAATCTTTTTTTTTTCAGCGATCCGAACTAGTAGTATTATTTATTTATAAGGGGACTTTTAATCAAATTTTATTATTGTTCAAAATTTGTGTGCAGTTGTTATTTGCTATCAAAAAAGTGGTTACCGCCAGAATTGAATTCATCCTAAAGGCTGCTGGTCCTTAGGAGCCAATTTTTAGTAATATTGAAATCCAATAATCAATATAGGATATTCAATTACTCCCTCCGGTCCACTTTAAATGATGTTTTGGCAGTTTCTTGTGGTCCATAATATTTAATTTTTTCAAATGTTAAGAAAGAATTAACTTTTTTTTTTCAAAGTTGCCTTTTGAGTAAAGAGCCTAGGAGTATTTTGTTGTACTTCAATGAAGAAATTAGAATTAATATGGTCAATTATATTATTAATTAACGTTAAAAGATGAATTCCTTAATTTGTGTGAAAACAACAAAAAAAATCACTTAAATTGGGCCGGAGGGAATAATGAATTTGTCAAAACTGAGAGCTGGTGTCTCCTTTTATTTGTTATTGTGCCTGGCTTTTTATTTTGTTATCTTTTTTCATTAATTAAATGGTAAAGTTTCACTTTATAAGTTAGTTTACTTTGTAAGTTTTCTTTCTCTATTTTTCCATTTCCCCACTTAAACTATTTGGCTTTCTCTTAGCTCCCAAAGCTTTGGTAAGTAGCAAGAGTAGAGCTCATGATGTGTAGATTAGACGCACGCTACTGACAAATTTTTATGCAGATATAAGTTTAGTATTTAATTAAAAAGGGTGAGTCTGTTAGCTATTAAATTCAGAAAAATATTTGCTTTTTACTAATTGTGATGAGTTTGAAGGAACTTAGGTCAGAATGCCAAATAAAAGTAGATCGATTTTGTTGTCATTCCTGAAGCCGCTTGACTGTAAAAAGAGGAGCGGTAATTAATCGTAGTCGTGTTGATTCAATTTGATCTTCCCCTCTTTCTCTACTATCATGTAAAAGGAAGGGGGGGGAAAAGCTCAATATTAAATGGTGGTATGGCAAAACTTTTCTACCAAAATGGACACAATTGATAGAACACAATTAAATGAGAGTATATGAAGCTTATGTCATGTTTGACAATTAGGTAAAGGAATATCACCACCAAAGGTTATGATGGGATAGTACGTACACTTTAATTCTTAATAGATATTTCGTCGGTCGAGCCCAAGAAATGAAGTTGGTTTTGATAGAAAACACTTTATCCCCAAGATAAGACATTTTGGCACGGATTCAAATTTGTTTGGGCTCAATGCCAGTACTGGACGCCGAGTAGAAAACAAAAAAGGAAGGAATAGCAAGAGAAAATGAAAGGAGAAAATTTTTCTATTACAATTTCCTGTGTAATTTCCATTTGAAATCTGTAAAAGGAAAAAAAAAAAAAAAAGTCTTTCAATGCCCATTTTCTTTCCTTCCCAACCAAGCAAAAGAAAAAAGAGAGGAAAACGACATTGTATCATAGAAATTGGAATGAGAAACCTCGTTCTTATTTCCACGTCAAATTTTTCTTGACTATTGGTCAATCTGAAAAATATGTGGTAATTTTATACCTAGATTGATTGCAGCATTGACGTTGAAAATAACGTTTTTCTTTTCATAGAAATTTCATGGAATTAACCACATGATGTCCATAAGAAAAGACATTTCATTTTCAATACATTAATTAATACATTTTACAGTTAAAAGTAAATATCACGGAAACTTTTCTGATTCTTCTTTGGAAAGCTTTAAACCATCAAAAAGTCTTTACAAAAGTTCCTTTTATTCGTTTCCCGGTTCCCACTTTGATATTCGGTATCCGTTTTAAAGTCTATAGTTCTTGATAATTGCAAATGTTATTTTTATCATAAGGGATTTGCCTTTCCTATTGATTCCTGCAAATTGGATCAAAAACAATTCTTGAATGAGGCCAGGAACGAATCGAAAAAGAAATCTTCATCATTTTTTTTAAGTAACGATGAGACTTTATCGTGATTAAAAAAAATTCTATGCACTTTTTTGAGTAGATTTTCTTATTATAAAGCTTTTGGGGTAAACCCGTTGACGACGGAAAAAAAGGACAGGGACATTTCTCTTGGATCAATCTATAAAGGCCACCATTAAACTTGGCCCAATTTTTTATTTTGACACTTTAACTCAGCCTTGTTCCATTTTGGTCCTCCAACCCCATTTTTTTTGTTAAAATATCATGGTATAGCCAGTTTTCACACTGGTCAATGAAAAATAGTCAGCGTTTATCAAGTCAATGAAAAATAGCCACTATTTTGCTGCAACAGGGACCGGTCCAGTATAATATACGGGAGTTCTGGTGCATTTGTGTACGAACTCCAGCATATTATGCTGGACCGGTATACTTTGCTAACTCCTGTAAAATTTGCGGGAGACTGGAGCACCAGTGCTCCAAACTCCAGTATATTATAGTGGACAATTATACTTGCTGGAACTCCCGTAAAATTTGCGGGAGTTCCAGCATAATTATGCTTGAACTCCCGTAAAATTTGCGGGAGTTCCAGCATAGTTATCCTGGAACTCCCGTAAAATTTACGGGAGTTCAAGCATACTTATGCTGGAACTCCCGTAAAATTTGCGGGCGTATTTTTTCGAATTTTGAACAGTGTTTTCGCTCAGATTTAAAGTGGCTAAATTTCGATGACTTTTGAAACTTGGCTATTTTTCAACGACTAGTGGTAAATCTGGCTATTTTTGAATTTCTCCCTATTTCTTTTGTTCCACTTTGACACAAAATTTTTTCTCCCAGGTAAAAATGCAGCGCGTGCAAATACCCAGCTGCTACCCCCCCACCCCACTTCCCCCAAC